TATGCTAACTTTTGCGCTATCTGGTTTATCTTGCCTTTGAAGGATTCTAACTTGAGCTTCGGAGCCCTTACGCCGGGTTCTCCCCGGAGCTTCTCTTCTCCTTCCGTTTCAGGTCCTTGTTACTCAGTTTAGAGGCAAGATCATTGACAGCTAAGACCGGCCAGATTGTGCATCATCACATGTATATGAGCCTTGTCCTTCAGCTATTAAGTGCTCATTTGGGAGGGTCTTTAGTCTTTACATTGCAGGCTTTTCTTTTCTTTTTTGTTATTATATGAAACAAGGCCCACCCAAAAAGCATATAAGCAATGCTTATGTTTGGTGAAATTTCAGAGAGCCCAAGACCCAAGTGAGTAATTTTGAGTCCCTCCATTGAAGCTTATTTTAGTGGCTTCTTCAAAGAAACAATAAAAAATTTAAGTCATTCCACTCAGCCACTTCAGCAAATATGAGAGTATCGGACCCATGCACCCCTCCCACCCAAATAAATGAAGGGAACAAAATTTAGATTGCCCACAATTCCATAGCCAATTCAATGAGCGATAAATCAAGTAAACATGAGAAAAAGTAAATATAAAGTTAGAATTATTTCAAATAGCTAGGATTTCCATATGCTCTCTCTTTCAAAACCTAACCATTATCGTGGATTAATTGTCTTTGAATTGTCATCAAGTCAGTATACTGGTTGTAGATGTTATTGTCCACCTTCCAATTATCTTACCAACTCAACTCACCATTTATATTAAATGATGTTAACACGAGTATATGATTCGCTACCTTCAACAGAATTGACATTTTTGAACTTACTACAAAGCCACCCTTTTCTTAAAAATTGTTTATAATCAACCAAGTGTACGTCTTTATCACAAATAGAATCGATCGAGATGAAGCAGATGAATAAGGTTAAACAAACTTCACATATACATGTACCAAATACCAAGTTCCTGGTTGGCTCGCATTTTGACCTACCTCTTTCGTCTTTTTCTAATCCCATATATCACATTCAATTCAATACATTTAGTTGGAATTATTCCCCAAAGAGTATCTGTGACTCACTCAATGTCAAGCGCATGAGTACTTCATCGTCATCTACATGAATCCTATTTTACCATTTTGTTCCATGAGCATTTTAAGTCATTTAATTTCTTACTATTTCGATGGAATTCGAATACTTCTATCTTAAAAATTCAGTAAAACCGAATCGAATTATTTAATCAATTAGTACCAGAATTGAACGTCTATTTCATATGTTTTGGATTTTAGGTAATTTTTTATGGAGGATTTTTGGTGTGAGGGCTACTTTTCATCTCCGTTCAAACAAGTAGGTGGGTTAAACAATTGATGAGTTGAAATTCTTGAGTCCAACTACCGACACAATCAGTCTCCTTTGACATTGATTTCACGTATCTATAAACTTGATTTATGAGTTGGCATTACTCGAGATGATCCTAACAGGTCCAACGATTTAGTGAAGAACTCATCTAACTCCATTGCTTTTCTGTGCTTTAGATTAACTATTCAACAATTTAGCTTCATCTTTTCCGTTGTCTCCCTTAATTCCTTTGATACATTCAGTTGAAATAGATGGAAACTATTTAAAGAAGTCTGGTTTTAATATGGTAAAGCTTTTGATAACTGTTACTGTATTTATGCATGGTAATGGTAGAGGTTGAAATGAGAGGAATTCCCAATTTGCTCACTGGGTCAGTACTTTTACTTTTTACCCATCATCTCATTTGGACTGAAAAGTAAAAACCATCGATTAATGGGGGCATCCGAGGGCCTTCACTGGGTGGGTCACCGAGTCATCCACTAAAGGCTAAACCATCCGATCCGGTCGGGGTCTGACAAAGTAATCCATTTGTACCCGGCTACATCCTAATGCAAACTTCAAAATTCATGCATATAGAGAGTGTAGACCTCTGGTTGTACTTCTCCAGGTTCAATTTTAAATTGAGCATAGAGTTAAGGAGTCAACTGGGTAATGGCCTAGATAGAGTCTGGAGTCAATTAATCTGGGCTAATAGAGTCCCTAAACTCCATGGGTTTTCGAGTCGGCCAAGTTGGAATATGGTCATAAAATCCCAATAATCAAAATCTGTTGATTGTAGGGTTTGGCAATCAATTTTGTAGGTTATAAGTCACAAGAATGGTGGAGTCCGGATGATTGAGTTGAGCATGTGCAGGTGGTCTATAGGCCAAGGCAAAGCAACCCTTTTGAGCATAGACCATAGGGACCTATATATATCCATCAAATATTTCATAGTTGGTAGCTCGGCTGTCACCCAGATTTAAAGAAAACAAAAGCAAAAAAGAGATACCTGATTCAATGATCACTGTAAGATGGTTGGTTGGTTTGGTCATTGACAAAAGTATGGTGTGGAACTCTGTGAACTGTGAACATGAGAACAAGCTAAATTATACATATAAATAGCTTTCCATTTAGGGGAATGAAGGGGAGCGGAGGCACTGTGATCTACTGATCTGTGAACGAAAAGAGATGTATTGACTATTGAGTGCCCAACCCGGTGCCACATCCACCCATTCCAATAGATATTTCCCATCTTTTGGGTCCCACTCCCTCCCAGTATCTATCTGATATAACCTGGACCGTTCTGATACTGTGCATGCTAGAGACTAGAGAGTGTGGACTAGAGCATGCTGCGAGTCATTTATGTGTGTGTGGAGTAAGTGGATGAGCTGAGGTGGAAGAAAGGAAGGAACTGGGAAGGATAGAGGGGGCCAATGGGCCAATGTTGTAGAGCAACGATGCAACATATTCCGAATTTTTTCTACCTGAATTTATTAAAAAGGTTAAGGGTCAATTTCCTATCGTTAATCATTACTTCTCCACTAAACTAAAGACCTAATTCCTAAACCAATTCTCAGCTTCATCTTTCTTTTTGTATCGTCAATATGATATCCACAAGGCCAATATATATATATATATATATTGAGAGAGAGAGAGAGTAATTGAGAAAAGAAAACAAGGTGAAGAAGAAGAGGGAGTGAAAGTGCGTTTGATTGGGAAGACCGGAAGAGACGTGAGGAGGGACCGGGCCGAGTGCGCGACCCTCACCCAGCAGACAAATCCCGTTTCAACGGGGAAACGTGGGGTTTTGTTTGGCATAATTCTTACATCTCTCAACGTTTTCCCTTTCCTCCCCCACTTTTAACTACCCCTATTTCCCAGCAATTATATCCCACCACATTCTCCGTGCCCCCCCACCCCATTAAAACTTTACGATCAACAGTTACAATAATCGCTGTTTTGACTCGTGCATTTGATTAATTTCCCCCTTCAATAGATACAGTACGTGACTCGCCCGCATCCAACGGTCAGAAAAGAAAAAGGAATATTCTTTGGATTTGGAGCAAGAAATAAGTGGGATGGCCGCCTGGCAATTGGCAAAAGCCAAATAGTCTCGGAGCCTGCCGGTGTTAACTTTAAAAGCGTGCAACAGGTTAAGTGGCGGGACCTGCTTGGCTCGGCTTAAGCGGACAACGCTTAAGCAAGCTGCGCCGGATTAACGTGTAAATTAAAGTAAAGAAAAGGGAGTTATTAGATAGAAAAAAAAAAAGTGTAAATCATAAATGGGCCTCTCCTCTTTTCCGGCTGGGGTGTGGGTGGGTTAGGCGGCCCATGATGCACGACCCATCACCTCTCCCTCTCGTGTCTGGATTCTAGACATGGCGACAGTTAAGAGGTTGATGGAGTCTCGGTTCAATTAAAATTCATTTTACGAGGAAAATATAATACAAATATATAGTAATGGTTTTTTATTTTTATTTAAATCCACGGCAATTAATTGGAAAATTAAAATTTGAGTGAAATTTGGATCTGAACGTTGCTTTTTAAAAGGATGCTTTATAGTTAGAGAACAAGAGGCATGAAGAAGAAAAGAGAGTGAATGAATTGAAGATCTCTGGTTGCCACTGTTACAAATCAAATATATATACAAAAATTACATAGACTAACAGAAGAAAGGGAGAGATTTTAAATTCTTCATTAAATTTTGTCGGAACCGTTTGGAGCGGTCTTGGCCTATAAAAGCAGCTTTGGGTTTTCCATTTCTCTTTATACCGATCAGAACAACGTCCTTTTCGCCAGATCTTGATTCTCCCAAAAAACGAACCCCGAATCGAATCGGAAGGAAACTGGGTTTCGTCTTCGTTACCAACACTTGGCTTCCTCTTCTTCTCTCTACTGTGTATGTAGCTTCTTGTAGGTAGTCGACTAGAAATTTAAAAAGAGTATAATATATACATAGTCAGTCGAGCAGAAAAAAAAAAAAAAGTCTTTTTCCTCTTCTGTCTTTCTGCAAACCTTGACGAAACGGTCTGTTTTATCTTTCTGATTCGACACTTCACCCTTCCTTCTTGGTTTTCGGCACTGCCGACCTCTGCAAATAAAGTTGCATTTAAGTGGGGTTTCCGGCCGAGTTATTCCAGACTGGTAGTGTTTGACAGGGGTGAGAGATTGGAGCTGGCAATTTGTTTTGTAATAATTAGCGTGCATTAAAGCTTCTCTGCAATTGTAACTTCTCTGTGCATTCTGTGACACTTGTTGGAAACTAGCTGTCTCAAGTCTCAACCCGACTTGAACAAAAAGGTTTGCTTCGCCCATATATAGGAAGGGAGAAAGAAAAGCGACGGATTACCGCGCAGACGGGCCTCTTCCGTTTCTTTCTCCAATTACATAACCGAAAGAGACCTCACGAACAAGGTAACACACTGAGATTGCCGGATTGGGTCTCTCCTTCCTCGTCTGGTTCGTCTAAAACATTGTTGAAATCGTTTTCAGATCTTTCTCTAAAGCTCTCCCTTTTTTTATGATTCTCTTTTTCTCTTTCTTGTTTGTTGTTTCTTTGTGAAAGCTGTAATTTAGGAGGAACGGAATTTCTTTTGTTGGATCCTCGTTTTTATAATATCCGCTTTCGTTTTCTGGGGTTTAATCTAATATTTTGTCTCTTTTACTGTCCGTTTCTATGATTCAGATCTAGACGGAATTGATCTCCGTCGTTGGGAAATAAGGGAAAAATGTTGCCACAGAAGCAAGCCGAAGAAGCGATTGTCTCCAACTTTAACGAAACGGAGCATGAAGGAAAGGAGGAGGAGAAGACAGATCAGTCCATGTTTAGCGTGAAGAGCTTCCTCTGGCATGGCGGCTCCGTTTATGACGCCTGGTTCAGTTGCGCTTCGAATCAAGTAAAACCCACAAAGACCCAGATAATAAAAATGAATTCCATTAGCTCCTTTTCTCAATCTTGTCTGAGGAAATTCAATCTTGCCTTTCATTACAGGTAGCTCAGGTGCTGTTAACGCTGCCATACTCGTTCTCTCAGCTGGGAATGCTCTCAGGCATATTATTCCAGATATTCTACGGCCTCGTCGGTAGCTGGACTGCTTATCTGATCAGCGTCCTATACATTGAGTACCGAAGTAGAAAGGAGAAGGAGAATGTGAACTTTAAGAACCATGTGATACAGGTAACCTTCCAAAATAACATATCAAAGGAGAAAAAAAAAATCAGGAGTTGCAGAAAATTCATACTTCGCCTTCTTAATTAATTCCACTAAAGCGCATACCCACTTGACTACCGTTTGTCATTTCAGTGGTTCGAAGTGCTTGACGGATTACTGGGTCCATACTGGAAAGCTGTGGGACTGGCCTTCAACTGTACATTTCTCCTCTTTGGGTCCGTTATACAGTTAATAGCTTGCGCAAGGTGAGTTTTTTCTGTTTTCGTTTCTTTTGCACGGTTCCAAAAGCCCAACAAAGAACAAGAGCGCTGAATTGATTAGCTGATTTATGGTGGGTTCGATGATGAGAGCAGCAACATATATTACATTAACGACCGACTGGATAAGAGGACATGGACGTACATCTTCGGAGCTTGTTGTGCGACGACGGTGTTCATACCTTCCTTCCACAACTACCGGATTTGGTCTTTTCTAGGGCTCGGGATGACCACTTACACCGCCTGGTATCTGGCTATTGCCGCTTTCGTTCATGGCCAGGTAAAAAAACAAACAGAAAAGAGTATTCTTTTTTAATCTGCTGTACGCATTGCCTTGTCTTTTCTTTCCTTGCAAAAAAATGCTTTTTCCTCTTCTTTTTTTTAAGCGTTTCCCTTTGTTCTTATTTGTGCAGAGTTCTGATATCTGAAGTTGCAGTTTTTAGTAGTTGTAGCCATCTTTGATAGTGTGAGAGCTTCGCTTTTGTTTTACAGGTTGAAGGCGTGAAACACAGTGGTCCGCAGAAGCTGGTTCTGTATTTCACCGGAGCCACCAATATCCTCTACACTTTCGGCGGTCACGCTGTCACTGTGTAAGTCTACGCGGTTTGGGAGATGAGAGACTAGAAATCATTATTCTTGTTGAGAGAGAAGAATTACATTCTCTCTTCTTTTCAGATCGCTTCTATTTGCAGCTTTTGCTGCCCCATTGGGGGCTTTGAGAAGGACATACATTATTATGGGAAATCTGCTTTTCCATTTCATGACGATTCTACCCTCCTCCGCTTGGCTCAAAATATCCAATTTCTGCCATCTGAGTCATCTGACCAAGGAGGGAGACACTGTGTTTCCGTCTCGGGATAATTGGTTTTATTTGAAGGGTCAATTTGGGCATTTCGTAGGATTAAAAATTTTATTAACTCCGTAATCATATGATTAGTAGTCAAATAAATATAAAAATAGGAGAATCGCAACTCTTTCCCGAGTAAGACGAATTCTATTACCACTCCTGCTACTTGTAGTGGGAAGTGGTACTGTGTAGAGTCCTAGAGAGAGAGGTATAGTCCTTGTAAAAAGCACCAACAAAAAACATTATTAATTTCTTCTTTTTTTTTATTCTGAAATAAATAAAATTGCAGGGAAATCATGCATGCGATGTGGAAGCCACAGAAATTCAAGTACATCTATCTACTGGCGACGCTTTATGTATACACGCTAACACTTCCGTCAGCTTCCGCCGTCTACTGGGCCTTCGGCGACCAGCTACTGAACCACTCTAATGCATTGTCTCTGCTTCCCCGAACGGGTTGGCGTGACGCTGCCGTTATCTTGATGCTCATTCACCAGGTGCGCTTCAATTCACATTGTTTATGTTTTGGGTTGGGTTGTATTTTGAAAGTACTTGATGGTCGAATTTACAAAAGACTGCCGTTTGTAGCTAATTCATCGTATTTGATGTGGAAACAATACTCTACTACAGTTCATAACGTTTGGGTTCGCATGTACGCCGTTGTATTTCGTGTGGGAGAAGGTGATAGGGATGCACGACACCAAGAGTATATGCTTGAGGGCTCTGGCCAGGCTGCCGGTGGTCATCCCCATCTGGTTCTTGGCCATCATCTTCCCCTTCTTCGGTCCCATCAACTCCGCCGTCGGTGCTCTCTTGGTCAGCTTCACCGTCTACATCATCCCTGCCATGGCTCATATGCTCACCTACAGAAAGGCCTCCGCCCGGCAGGTATATATGAATAAATTAGTTATTTTTGACTCTCCCACAGGCCACAGTCACACCTGACACCACTCACTTATGTTTGTATTCTTCTTGGGGCATTTTGGTAATTGGAGGCCGTCCGAGTGAGAGTCCACTCTCTTTGATTCTTTCTCCATCAATTCATCTTCCGGGACCGGGAGGAAGGATTGGCTTTGGCTGGAGTGGGCCAGCCCGGAGCCGTCATGAGTCATGACTGATGAGTGATGAATGGAACTGGAAGTCTGGAAGATAGTTTGACTCTCACAGACACAGAGTCGGTAGTTGATTTGATAAGCCGCACTTGGGCAGGTGGGATCCACTACCTTAGTTCCCATTTTTCTAGTACCAGAAATGATACCCCGGAAAATCCGATCAAATCACGGCCGTTGACGTATACAATTATCAGATACGGGTTTGTGTATTTACACCGCTTCCAAACGCAGCCACTCCCGGTCAGGTGTGACACATTCGTCAAAACTCGAAAGAGCAGGCGAATCCTTGATTTGCATTGCGAGGATCGCGGTTTTCAAATAATAATTTGTGTGGTACTGCACTGGTGCTAGACGTCTACAGTACTACTGTTTTCAGTCGGAAAATACCGAAAGTAACCCCCCCTTGTTTTCTTCCCTTTGACGCTTTGGAATTGGAGGCATGTTTGTTTATGGTCATAGGCTCGTAGGAGCATTTAAAGCTTTTTGGATATTGGGGCATTATGGGAGATTGGGAGGGGGGAAGGTGGACTGTCCATCTCATCCTTTTAGAGTTTAGGCTCTGGGATTAGCTGGCGAGGGGACTCGTTGAGTTGTATCTACATCACGAGTCTAATGTGTCATTTTTTCAAACTTCAACTCGGAAAGAGATGCGCTCCCCATTTCTATTTGGGATTCTCCTTTTTTAACCCAACTGAAAATGAGTAATCCGTTTTCATACGACGACAGTTTGGGGAGTTTTCTTGTGCTAACACAAATTTCTTGTCTTAATGGGTTTGGTGCAGAATGCGGCAGAGAAGCCTCCGTTCTTCTTCCCGAGCTGGACGGGTATGTACATAGTGAACATCTTCATCGTTGTTTGGGTCCTCGTCGTGGGCTTCGGTTTCGGTGGGTGGGCTAGCATGAGCAACTTCGTCAAACAAGTTGACAACTTCGGCCTATTTGCCAAGTGCTACCAGTGCGCCAAGCCCCCACCGGTCGCTCCAGCTCCCTCCTCCTCCTCCTCACATCACTGAGCTCCAAGCCTCTAACCGTGTCGAGGAAACAACCACTCGTGCTAAAAACAGAGAACACAAAAACGAAGATGATACTAAAAATTGCAACAGCAGCCCAAAATCCATGTTTCCTTGTATTATATACATTGGGGAGAAGCAAAATTTCTTCCAAGATGTGGTGTGCTGGTTTTCTTTCCGCTTGCGCTTCCGCACCCTTTTTGGTTATTATTTAATTAGCAAGATAGATAGTGTAGTGATGAATGATTCCCGGTGTCAAAGTATTGGTAGGTACTACAGCTCAAAATATATTTTGGTCCTTTATTTCTCTATAATACATATATCTTTCTCATAATATAAAAATTGGGCTTTGTTATTATGGAAGTTTTGAAACTCATAATTTCGATTCCCGGTGTCAAATGCAACGTGGCATGGTCATAGTGGTTGAAATGAACTTCCTATTAAATGACCCCTTTTGAGTCTTTCTATTGGGAAGGGACTCACTGGATATGGGCCAATCTTCACATGGGTTGCACGTCGGTCCAATTCGTGATCACGTGCCCCACTTCCTCTCTCATATTCTCTACTCACATGTCATTAAATACTTGTATGAACATGAAGCCCAATATATTTTATCATTAAAATCATTCGTGCTATCTTAACTAAATATTATCTGGTGGAGTCGATTTCCTTGTAAAATGTTTCAATCCTTTGACCTCTTCTCATATTCTTGTTTTCTTGTATTACTGTTCCACATGAGCTTGGGTTGGGGATAATCAGATTTACTACTACGAGCATTTCCCTAGATGGGCTGAAAAATCAACCTCATTGATGAAATTCTTTTGGGTTTTGATCTTTACCATCATCACCAGTCAGCAATGGAAAATCCTTTTAATTAGTAGTTCACAAATGTTGAGATAAAAAATAAAGAAACCTTTTCCTTAACCCTCCATAAGCATGAGTTGTAATTTGTAAATTATGTGGATTAAATTTTGCCCTATTTTCTTCCTCCTCACAAGCTGAATCAATAAACTCAACCGATTTATTTGGTTTGTGAGGATTTGAGCAAAAAATCTATTTGACGCTTTTTGTTTCTGGGACTGTACCATCATCCTGGTTGTCTGACTGAGTTTTTATTGCCGCAGTTGCGACCTTAGGCTTCTATTGCTCTTTAGAAAGACCACGGTTTGCCTTAGTATTCTTCCTCGTCATTTAAAGTTCAACTTTTTAGGTGGGAGTTAATGAATTTAGTATCCCCCTGAGAGTTTAAACTTAAATTCATAAATCTATATTTAGATTGAAGGCCCCTGTTTGGACCATCCATCTTACACAGTATTGTATTCTGACTTCTGAGTTGATGGGATTTGGTCTTTTACTTTAATACCCCACTAGCCATTCCACGGAGAGCCTAGGTTCCACAGATTTAATCTAACACCTATATTTGGAGGAATGCCCACTGACCATCTTAATTACCATGACACCCACATTACACATGCAACAATTTTCCTCTAGATTTTTGCTTCTTACCCCATCTCTCTCTCTCTCACACACACACACATTTGTGTATACATTGATTGTACCCATACCCATGCCCCTGCCTTGTAACTACAACCTAAAACAGTTAGTTTGAATTATAACCAGACAAAATTATCCATTTATCCATCAATTTTTTTTTAAAAAAAAAGGAGCAAGAAGTTACAATGCATTTGTTTTCTTGATTTAAAGCCCATTTTCGTTTTTTTTTTCAAAATTTTCTATACGTTACTTTATTCAATCATGAATTTTTGGGTGTTAATTTGAAGGGCATGAATCCAAATATTTTAAGTTAAAATAGAAGACAATGGGTTTAAGTTGCTTTTGACATCAATGGCAGGGATGCAGTGAGATCAATGCAAAATTGAGAAATACACAAAATCAGTAAAATAAAATAAACTTATTCTTTTTCCGACTAGCTGTTCATCCCCATTCCCCAGTATATTCTCAATTTGTTTATACGTACTTAGAGTAATGGCTAGTGCACTTGTCATACAGACTGTGTGATTATATATTAGATGATGCTAATTGAATATGGTAGTACAGGAGCTCCAAGTCGTCCGATCCGGGGACCACAACATTGGAATTGTTTAGCCGTCCCCCACAATGAATAGACTGGAGTCGTGGTCCTTATTATATTAAATTATGTACTAGGCAATCACATCAGTGGGCCTTGTTAGCAAAGGATCAAGGGCCCATCAACCCAAACAAGAAAAATGAAGAAAGTTAAAAACTATATGGTTCTGGATATGCCCTTTTTTTAACAGAATGGCGACACCGTGTGTGGGCATAGTGATGTGTCCTTCTGGTGGGAGGCATTTGCCTTCGTCCAATCTCTGTCTCTAATGCAAATGATCAAACTCAACTATGCATTCCAGCGTTACAAATTAAAAAAGTATTCTACTCTTTTTTTCTCTCTCTTTTTCCTTTCTTTTTTAGGTCCCCAAAGCAAGAAAGCTTTTATGGGTTTTCCCTTGTATGTATGCTTCTAAGTGTCGTTTACTGCTTTGGTCCCCATCTTGAGGTGTGGTTCTTTATTGTAGCAGAGTGTAGGAAAGCTTGCTTCCTTGCCCCCAAGCTGCTTTGTACTTGCCACAAGCTGGTTGGAAGCGACCCATGTTTGCATCATCACTTGTTTGTGCTGAACCCCGGTTCTGGTACTTGGAATCAATTGCTTTTTATAGTGTAGAGCTGAAATTATTTGTGCAGGGCCTAAATTATCTTATGGCATCAAAAGCTAATGTTTATTCCCACTAAGATTATATATAGCCATGAACTCGTATAAATTGTTGCTAGCAAAGATTATGATCTCTAGTTGAGCAACTTTTCAATGTGATTAAGAATCAAGACTAGGGTTGCAATTTGGATTCGAAGAGTTTCAATTACATGGAGCTCGGGTTAGGGTTCAGGCCCATTGAAAATTTAACAAATTCCTAATTCAACCTGACCCAAGTTGCACTCCCGATGGGGTCGAAATTAAATTTTCGACGAACCCAAGCTCAATGTAGTTGAAATTCTTGGAGTCGGGCAACCTGTTTTGAAGTCCCAGTCAAGACCTACTTTACAACTAAAAAACTGGGGCTTGACGGCCAGAGAAATTAAAATTGGTAAAGCTGTGGATGATTTTTTGACCCAATTTCAGCCAGCCATAAAGAGAGATGAAAGGCACCAGAGTTAAAAACACTTTGACATAAATGGAGTGTGCCCCCACGGCATCTTTGCAAAGTTTCACTTTCACCAACCCAAGTTGATCATCCAACTTTATTTCTTTACATGTGTGAAGAATCCGAAATAACCAAGAGGAAGGATAAACAGCTGAGTCAGCATCTCTTAAAAGAAGATGGCTGGGTGGGGATTGGGGAAGGACCAAGGAGTGTGACCATGATCATTGTCTTCAAAAGAGGATTTCGGCTATCTTTGATGTTATTCTTTTACATAAAAGAAAGGAGCATGGAAATCACCAACAACTTAGGGAAAAAGAATAGTCCCCCAATCACTAAGCGCGTATTAAGCGAAAGATGACATAAAGAGCACACAGAAAGGGACATCTCTCACACGCTTTCTCCTTTCCTATTCCCTTTTCTCCTCATCAATCAACAGCTTCTTTTTCAGTCTCGAGTTTTTTTTTTGATCGATTAAGCCAGCAGCTGAGGTTCAGACGATTCATGAACAGATGCAAAAGAAACTAAGAAGCTTTTTCTCTTCTGATAGTGGTATATGATTGATTCATCTTTATTTTTCATAAATGGCTAATCTTCCTAGTTAAAGCAATTTTGACTGAAGATTACTCTCAGGTCTTGACTCTTGAGTGTTGTTGATACTCGACGAGGAGGGGATTTTGACTACTAATTAGGCTAGCAAGAACCCAATTAAAAGAAAGTTGTAACAATTTTATGGAGAGTTGATGGTTGTAGCAAAGAAAGAAAACAATCTTTAAAGCTGCCGCTGCCACAGAAGAATCTTGTACAGTTTTCTGGAATCATGAACAGTTGGAAAAGGGGGAGAAAATAATGGAAAGGAGGGAATATAGTGTGATATGTAGAGATAAACTCAATATATTAATTAAAAGCCCAAGTAGGAATAATTATTATTATTGTTATATTTCTTCAATTATCCCCCTATTGTATTGGCATTGGCGTGCATCCCCTTCTGTCACACACTTATTGGAGAAGATAGGCAGAAGGAACTAGAGCATACCCTAGGGCCTAGGCTAAACCCCTACACTACAGTCTACAGTCTACAGGGGTAAGGGTCGCTAGGTTTGGCCATGCTTTTTGCAGCATTCTTTAATACTAAAATGTCTCTTATTGAGGTTGAGAATGAGGAAGGAGCCTAATTTAAAAGCCCAACTCTTTAATCTCTAGAGATTCTTAGATTATTCTCTCAAGGCAGGCTTGTGCAGTGCACATGGCTGGTCACGGGTCACATAAGAGAGTTAATACACTTGTGCTTGTCTCCTGGGCCCCATGCAGCAGCCCATCTCCGTGGACTAACTATGCTGTATTTTCTGCAGTAACCACTGACCAGCCATTCTCAATCAACAAGAGATCACATAAAGATAAAGAAGCTTTGTTGCTTTGTTGCTTTATTGCTTTAGCTTCACAACTCACAAGTTTGAGCTAGGCCAGGGCCTGCCTGTCTGAACTCTGAACCCAACTTCAATTCATCTTGAGCTCTAAAACAGTAAACAGACCAGGCTTCAATTCTGGGGAAAAGGGAAATTAGCTCAGTACTCAATTGTCATTGTGCCAAGTTAGCTCACTTGGGAGAAGGGCTTGAATGTTTTTGTTTCTTCCTTTTGCTGAACGTGGGATGTCGCCTAGAATTTATTTGGAGCGTGTATGGGCCCAATCAAATAGCTTCAAGATCGTGACTGTGTCCTCTCTTGAACAAACTACCAAGGCTTATCCTTCTTCTATGGCTAAGGCTAAAAGCCTAAAGCTGTTGGATTGCAACTTATCAGTTAGGCGATTCATATAATTCAAATAAGCTTTTATGGTCATAGGCGGAATTAAAAATATCATCTTTAGTCTTCAGTCTTCACACTTGAGCCTTCAACATAACCTGTCAAACCACGGAGGCCAAAAGTCCAAACCCATCATCAACCTTCGCTTTTTGACAACTTGCATCTGGATTGTTTCTATAATTGGACTTCATGGGCCGAGCCCATAAATTCCTTGTGGATGCCAGATCAGAGTAGACCCAGTTCCAACCTGGTAAGAAGGAAGTAGGTAGGCTTGATCACTCTGTATATAACCGGACCAGAACCAACCCCGTTATTTATCCGACTTGATGTTCTGACCCAGTGAGACCCAATTGAAATTAGCAAGTGTAAAACCTTGT